TTTTTATATTAAAAAATTATCACTTAATTATTTAAATTATTGATATAATCTAATTTTTTTAGTATATCAATCAAATATATAATATAAGCTCAGGATATAGCAAAAAATCCATTCAACTCTCTTCTTGTAGAGTTTTTGCCAAAGAGAAATGCAAGTGAAAGAAAAGCTCTTCTATCTTTTCTTTCTTTTCCCCTTTTTTTTTTTTCCTCACATGAACTAATTCAACATTGATTACTTTCTTTAGGCAAACATGATGAGAACCAAAACCCCTTTTACCTTGAATTGGTGTGAATCTCGTGAAAGATAGTCGGCCAAGCAAAGGCCAAAATCAAAAGATAAAATGAAATAATGTGTTGTGAAAGGCACATCTACCTAACAATTTTGAAGCCAAGAGAATTGGGTGGTGTGTGGTGGGATCCCACCAGAAAGGCAAACTTAGACTTTCAGATGATAGGAAGGTGGCAAAAGCAAACGCGTGACCATAACATACATTTCACATTTCACAAATACGAATCGAAGAATTGGTCCAACTAAAGTTGTCCCTACCACATTCAACTTGCACATGTGATGCCAATTTTGGGCATAAAAAAGCAAGAACTCAATTCAAGAGGCAATTTATTACTAAAAAAAGTGTTGTGAGCAAGGTAATCCATTGGACGAAAGGTAGGCCACAATATTATTGAGATTAGTCTCGTTATCAAATAATTTTTATTTTACAATATAGTTTGAAAAATAAAAATATTTTATTATTATTATTATATACTCCCTTAGATAGATTTTTTAATTATATTAGTTCGTCATTTTTATCTGAATTATCTTGACCATTTTATACAATAAATAACAATTAATTTTTTAAAAAAATTTTAGTAAAATTATCTACTAAGAACATGTAAAAAGATAAAAAATTTTAATTATCATGTACTTATTATATAAAACTGTCTTGTTAAACTTTATACAAAAATCAAATTAAAGCAATTAAATTGAATCTGAAGAAGTATAAAATAGAAGTAATACTCATAAATTTCCTTAAAAATTAATAACTACTAAAATTTTCTTAATGTAATTAATTACATGAGCTAATACTGGGACAATTTGGAAGGTAGTTAGGATCTCTAAAGGGGGTCTAGTTAGACTTAGATCTGAAATTAAACGTTGGCATAGCAACCAACTAGAGACCTAAGAAAATAGTAGGCAGGCTTAAACCTGCCAAAACAAAAAGGGATAGCAGGCTTAGACAGCCTGAAAACAAAGAATACATTTGGGGGGGGGAGGGAGGGTGGGGGGTTTGAACTCGGAACTACAGCGGTGACCGAGCAGCAAGACCGAGCCATGCCTTGCCGTCTGCTGGCTTGGAAGGAGGTGCTCCAGTCTGGTATGGTGCTTTTGTGGTGATCCTGAAAATTTTTCATCATAAAACATAGGAAATATCAATACATCAACTCAAAGCACAAAACTAGTTTGACCCATGATTTTGAATGAGAGAACACCCACTTTTTGTCATAAAAATGATTCTGCTTGAATCAATACATGCAATGCTTTATGGTGTAAAAGAATCAACACTAATGTTGGAACCAATAGATCCTGACATATTTCTTTAGATGGTTCGAACAAAACAAATGAAAACTAATGTGTCGTAGATGTCTACCTATCTTTTCTCTTCTCAAGGAAGCGGTGAAGGGAAGCTCTCCTTGCAATTGGCAGATCTGCAATGAGAAAACAACAAAACACATAAGAAACTAACTCGAAAACATCCAAAGGTAAAGGCAATAAGTAGATTCCAGAGTTTTTCAGGAGTATTACTGCAAACAACAGGTTGAGAAGGACCCGGCTGAATGGTGTCCTGCTTCATATTGTTGTCAAAACTAGGAACGACATTTGAGGCTGGAGGAATTCCATTACTTGATTCAACAGGACTGCTTTTGGCCAGATTGGTAGGGAAGCTGTTGTTGCTCTGTGTCTGAGAGCCTCCCTGACCTGCTAGTTCCATGATTTCCTTGGCCTTATCAGCCGGAAAATCATTGAAAACAATCACTTGTCCGCCATAAAATATAGTCATCTGTGCAGTTTGAGGCTGCTCCAACTTAGCACTCCTGTCAATCAAACAAAAGGAAAAACACATCAGTAACCAAGCACTTGCCAAATCTGTGATCAAAGATAGCAAGAAACAATTCCACAATTCAACGCACCCGGCACCAGCCATCTTCAGACCATCATCCTTAACCAATGGAAATTCAAATCCAGCCTGTTGCGGGAACAAATCCATGGATTTCATGTTCCGGGGAGCCGCTGCAAGGTTCGGGACAGAAATATCACCCGCTTTCTCATTAACAGGAAACAAATTCATGGTTGTTACCGTTGGCTGTCGCGCAATGGATGGACTGCCTGCAGCATATGGGGACAAGTAGCGAAACATTAGATTCAATTCAACTGCTTTCCCAAATTAGCATATGCTTCAAAGACAACAATTATGGGGTATTTATAATGAAAGCGGGATGATGTAGTCTAATTAAGAGGAGCAAAAATTGGAAGGAGCTCTATTGATCTAGGTTGGGAGAGATTATCTCAACGGAATTTCATGCTATTAAAGCACATGTAATCATCTGTTTCATCAAGAAAAAAGAAAATTGAAAATTCCAGAATTTAGAGAGAAAAAAGGATGGGTCTTTTTTTTTTTTTTTTTTGAACAATTAAGCAGAATGTGTTCATGAAAAATAGAATTTCTCGGATCTGGAAATACAAAATAGAATTTCTCGGATCTGGAAATACAAGAAGCAAAAAATTGAAGATTTCAAAGGACACAAAATTAAAACGTGCTCAAGAAAATAACAGATCTAAACTTAATTAGGACGAGAGAAAAAACCATTGAGAAAATTGAAGAAAAACTAATGAAAGTAAAAATCATGTTAGAACTGAGCTAAATTAATCCAAAAAAAGGAGAAGACTTCGGGATTCTGTTTTTCTCTCGAGCACCTCTGTTTTTCTCAGCTCCCAAACAGAAAACTCGGGAAAAGAAACAAAATAAAATAAAAACTAACCGTTTGGTTCAACGTTGCATGTCATTCCGAGTGTAAGATCTCGGATATTGACTTTCTCCTTCAAGTACTGACTCAACAAATTACAAGTCTGAGCAAAGCTCGGTTTCTCAGGCAACCTGGCCGGTTTTTGCCCGGTAAGTTCCGACGAAGACGACATATTCAGCGGCGAACTCAGAACCCAAATACCCAATAACAGTAAACCGAAATCCAAGCCCAAAGACAATAATCAAACTGAATTGTTTTACAACTGCATCTATATGGGTTTCTCTATGTTGGAACTTTTTATATCCAGGAATTGAAGGAAGGAGGCGATTTATCTTTTTCGAGGGGAGGAGGTGGAAGGAGGTGGGGGCGATAAAAGCACGAGGAATACATGCGGCGTTTTAAGGTTGCAAATTGATGTGTTTTCTTTATTTTCCTTACTTTTTTTTTTTTTTGGGATTTCAAACACGTGTTCTTTGCGTTTGTCAAAGACGATGTTTGCGTTTGTCGGTCGTGCTGGTATGTCTTAAAGAATCGGTAGCACAGTTTTTCTTTACGGTTTTGCCCCTATCTGATAAGGTTCTTTTTTGAATTTTTTTTGTTTTTATCAGCAACTAGTAAATTCATTTAATCCTAATCATTTATTGAGCTTGTTTCTGATATTAACCTGTCCGTACTCAATTTTTCATTCATATCATTTAAATTTGTGAATTTATTTAAAAAGAATTAATTTTTTTATTGCACCGAGCCCTTCTGGTTAAGTGATAATAGCCACTCATAGTGTATTCCCCCCTCCTCCAGAGCTGAGGTTCGAACCCAACCCCATGTAAAATCTGTTAAAAAAAATTAATTTTTTTATTTAAATTAATAAATCATTAGTATTTATTGAGTTTGTTTGCATAATTATTTAAAATTATTTTCTTTATTGCACCGAGCCCTTCGGGTTAAGTGATAATAGCCACTCATAGTGCATTCTCCCCTCCTCCAGAACTGAGGTTCGAACCCAACCCCATGTAAAATCTGTTAAAAAAAAAATTAATTTTTTTATTTAAATTAATAAATCATTAGTATTTATTGAGTTTGTTTGCATAATTATTTAAAATTATTTTCTTTGTTTTAAAATAATAATTATTTTTTTAATTTTTAATTTATTTTAAAATTTATTTTTTAATATTTTAAAATAGATAATTTTTTTCTTATTTAAACTCTATTATTATCTATTTATTTTAATTAATTATCATATTACAAAAAATTTCACTTTAACTTTTAATTTTTCTTAAAGGTAAAAGTTGTTTCCAAATCTTTAATTAAAAAAAAGTTATTTTAAGACACATAAAGTAACAGTTAGTAATTTTATATAATTTAATAAATATAAGTATTTAAATTATTAATAATAATAATTATCAACTAAAATTTGGTAACCACTATATTAAACAGCTTAATTGAGATACAAGAGACAGAAGAATAGAGTATGGAAGGCTCAAATCCAAATCCTCTCATGATCTACTCTCCGTTCTCTTTTTTCAATTTCCATGTGCAAGCTTGTTCTGTTCCCATCATCTATTAAAAGACTATTTCAATAATTTTAAATATTGAATTTATTGATAAGTAAATTTTATTTTATAAATTAAGGAAAATATTATTGGAATAATTATTTTATTTTATTTTTTTGTATAACATGATGTGTTATTAAAATAATTGATTCTTTTAATTCATGTGATACCCGTAATATTAAATGTATCGACTCATTTAGTGACATATGAAAGTTGTATAAAAATATGAGATAAAAATGTTGTGTCTATAGCACCACCCATAAATTAATAGGTAAAGAAATTATTATTTTTTAGACACCTTTAGGATCATTAAAAGAAAGATTAGTGTTAAAATGTACAAAATTAATTTTTTTAATAGGATTACATTTTTTGGGAAGGTAGAAATGGATTAGGAAAAGAGAATATATGAGACTGAAAATTGTAACTCACATAGATAATCTCGTTAATTTATTATCAATGCCACTTAGTCAAACGTGAGGATCAAGTGCAAAATTAATTTGATAACATCCTAACTTAAAAATAAAATAAAATAAAATAAAATAATCAGCCAGCTGAAAGTTATCCTTCTCTCTTTTAATTTGATAAGATACGTTTGTTTAGAGGCATATATTAGACAAGAAGTGAAATTAACTCTTGAACTTGCAGTGATGTGTTTTATTAGGCTCTCTATTTTTTTGATTTTGATATATATTTTTTTGAACATTTTTTACATGAAACAGGTTCGAAACCCATTCAAGAGAAAAAAAAAAACACTTATTTTATGACTAATGCCATTGGACCTATGAGACAAAGTGCTTGATTTTGGTATATTAATTTTAAATCTGATTAAAATTATCATTGAATTTCTATAATGCGATTTTGAAAAATTAAATAAAAACTAACAAGTACCAATGAAAGAATTGGGAGGTACTCATATCTTATATGACTAATTACAAATTTATTT